CGGCCGGTCGCGGTCGTAGCACAGGCGCCCCTTCTCGGAACTGCGCAGCGCCTGCAGGGTCTCCCAGCAGCCACCCTCGGACGGCATGGCCAGGCCTGCAGCAGCTGCTCAGACTCCCTGCCCGAGACAAAACAAACCCTCGAATCAGCCGCCGGGCGGGAGAAGCGGACTTCGCTTCCGGGCGCGCGCAGGAAGCGCGGCGCGGCCCCGCCCCTAACGGCTACAGGCCCCGGCTCCGCCGCCCTTCGGCCCGCAGGCGGGAGAGCTCGCCGAAGCAAGAGCTTGTGGAGACCCCGGGCCCTCCTACACTGCTTGTGGAAATGTGGACTAATGCACCTCCTGGGAAAGACAGCCGGGCAGTTCCCCGAAGGGCTAAACGTAGTTTCCACTGACCCAGCAGTTCGCCCAGGTATACTGGAGAGGAAACGTGTGCACACAACAGTGTGTACTTGAGTGCTCGCGGGGGTTACCACAGCCAAAAAGCTTCCATCGGCTGGGGGACAGGGGAGGAAAGCGATGGGCTACCCACAACGGTTTCTTTAGCCGGAAGTGACGAACTGATAAATACTCCACATGAACCCTGAAAGCATCCTGCTACGTCAACGAAGTGAGCCAGGGAAGGCCGTGTTGTGATTCCATTTACTGAAATGTCCGGGACAGGCACCTTCAGAGACAGATTTTATTAGTTGTTGCCAGAGGCTGAGGGGAGGGCAATGGGGAAGGACTGCTTGTGAGTATGGGGTTTCTTTCCAGGAATCGTGAAAATGGTCTAGAATGAGGTAATGGTGGTGGTTGATACGCAATTTGGTGAATATGCTAAAGCCACTGAATTACGTCTATACTTTTTCCTTTGACAGAGACAGTATGCACTGGAGACAGGGAAAGTGAGAAAGCACTCCGCCATGGGGGATGGTAACACTAAAATTCCTTCTCCTCCTCTCTCTTCTCAGGATTTTGGGCACACATGCACAGGTGCCCAGAGTGTTCCTCAAGCCACTGGGTCCAGGACTCAATCAGGCAGTCAGTCACGTGGAACCAACCACTTTAACCTCCAGGCCACAGGTTGATTGTCTATGTACTTTTTTTTAGGAGTTATTTAATCTTACTTATTCATTTATTTTGACCAGAGAGACACAAAGACAGAGAGAGATGAGAAAGCAAGCCACCAGGTCTCAGACTCAAACCACCGTCAGCCACCTGGGAGTGTCCTTAACCACCATGCCACCTACTGGTCCCCTGTATGTACTTTTTTTTTGGAGAGGTTTTTGCTGTAGGGCACATGCGCTCGCCAGAAAGACAAGAGACAGAAAGCGAGAAATCACCCCCCAGGGGGGATGGCCACACTGCAATCCCTTCTCCTCCATTCTCCTCTTGGGATCTTGGGCACACACGCACACGCGCCCAGTGTGAGTTTAAGCCACCAGGTCCAGGACTCAAACCGCGGTCGACTATATGAGAGTTCAGCAACATAGCCATTACTAACTGCTGGTCCTCCCCTGTATGTACTTTTAAAAGGTTAATTTTACAATGTGTGAATTATGTCTCAATAAGATAGAGTGACTCACAGTTGTCTGCGGCTGGCTCTAACTGGGACCCCAGACCTTTGAGCATTTTACCTTTCCCATCATTTCAGGAGATCTCAGCAGTTAGAGGTAGGAAGGATTCCCCATGGAGTATGAGCAATAGGAACAATGATTTTCTGATTTTTATGAAGTCCCTGAATTTTTGAAAAAGTATTCATTTATTTAATTCCATTTGTTGTTATTTTTTCCCCAATTTCACCAGAGAGAGAGAAAGGGAAAGCGAGAACACAAGCCACCAGGTCTGGAACTTGAACGATGGTCATGTGGGAATCCAGCACCTTTAAACACGACACCGCCTGCCAGCCCCAATTTTTTTTTTTCCCTAGATTTTTACCATAGGGCATGTGTACTCACCAGAGAGTGACAGAAAGAGGGAAAAGTGAGAACTCACCCCTAGAGGGAATGGCCATGCCACAATCCCTTCTCACCCATTCTCCTGGAATTTTGGGTACACACACACGTGTACTAATTTTCAAGTTGCCCATTCCGGGCCTTGAACCACAATCAGCCACATGGGAATTCAGCACTTTAATCTCCACTCCACCTGCTGGCCCCACCCCTGGACTTTTTTCTTTTTCAACTATCCTAAATTGTTTATTAGGTGTGAATTTTACAAACATTTCTTAGATTAATGGTCATGGTGAAGCTGGAGAGTATTGTGCCTTCTTCAAGCTGCATGGCGAGAACCACCTATAGTGTAGTGGAACTTGTGACCCTTTCCAAGGCCTCAGCTCTTGCAGCCTGCCCGTGGATGTCAGCCCACACATCTCCCTGTGCTTGTGGACCGGTTTGGTAATTCGCTGGGTGTCAGGGTTTCTTCTGATAACTTTATGGAATGGATCAATGAGGATAACCTCAAAGAATTTATATGTGGAATCTTCACCCCCCCAGTAAGAATTCAACATACTAAGAGCCTCACAGTGGCATCCAGCTTGCAAAAAAAAAAAAAAAAAGTGTTTTTTCTTTTTTTGGAGAGGTTTTTTCTTATTGGGTGCGTGTGCTTGCCAGAAAGACAGAGAGAGAGATAGTGAGAAATCCCCCCCCAGGGGGGATGGCCACGCCACAATCCCTTCTCCATTCTCCTCTAGGGATCTTGGGCATGCACGCACACGTGCCTGGAGTGAGTTTAAGCCACCATGTCTGGGACTCAACCTGCGGTCTACTACGTGGGAGTCCAGCGACATAGCCATTATGCTAACTGCTGGTCCCTTTTTTATTTTTTTGGAGAGGTTTTTGCTATAGGGTGCGTGCACTCACCAGAAAGAGACAGAAAGCGAGAAATCACCCCCCTGGGGGGATAGCAAAGCTGCAATCCCTTCTGCTCTCGGGATCTTGGGCAGGCATGCACAAGCGCCCGGTGTTAGTTTAAGCCACTGGGTCTGGGACTTGAACCGCGTTTGACTACATGGGAGTCCAGTGACATAGACATTATGCCAACTGCTGGTCCCAAGAAAAATTGTTTTTATATCCTCTCTCTCTCTGCCTTCGGCATAGACTTAACACCTTTAAACCAGAAACCTGTTGGGACCTGACCACAAAAAATTGGTTACCAGTGTGTGAGGCAATTTGGACTTCCCAATGACATTAAGATGGCATTCTTCAAAAGAGCAGCAGTTCCTTGTCTATATTGTTGGATCTTCAGATTGATAATTCTGTCATTTGCATTTCTTGGAAGTCAGGGTCGGCTCGTGCAAAGTCGTTAAACAACATGCTAATGTGAAATGTCAGCCCTCTAAACACAGAGCATCAAATGAAGACTTCACTGGATTTTACAGTAGCTTTCTGATTTTGGTAGTCTATTGAAGAAGGGAGTATGAAAGTTGTTGTATACTGGTAATAATTGTCTGCGCCCATGTCCTGCCCGATACACCATGATTATTTATGAAAAATATCTTTAATAAAGCTGGATACAGTTTGGAGGGAAAAAAACAAAAGGAAGAAAATCATGCTGGCATGTGTGCGTGCATGCCCAAAATCCTGAGAGGAGACTAGAAGAGAAGGGATTG